CGGTCCGGCAGCTAGCTGAAAACTGCTCCTCTGGGTTTGGTATCTTGTGAGTAAATTTCTGCATTAAATACTTAGCTTTACTGTCAGTAATTTTGTGTCGCGCATCGTTACAGCGTCCGGTAAAGCCTACACTTAATATTTTTTTTATTTTTCAGTTTAAATTTAGATAAGAAACAAGGTTGCTTCACAAGTCAGTTCCAGGTCCCTCTCCCTCTCCCTCCCCTCTTCCTGTGCCCTTCCCCCAAACCCCTCATTATCCCATCATTTCCCCAGGGAGGGTGAGGCCCTCCATGGGGTGTCCATAGTCTGTCATTTCATATAGGCCATGGCCTAGAGCCTTCCCCAAGAGTTCAGGGTGAGAGTGCACCTCACATTGTTGGATGGGAGTCCAAAGTTGGTGTGTATACTCCAGATGGGTACTGATCTGCTGCCCAAGGCTCAATAGATTACCTAGGCCTCCTCAGTGACACGCACATATAGGGGGTCTTGATCAGTTCCATACTGGATTCCCAGGCTGAGGCCTGGGATTCAAGAGTTAACCTATGTCAGGTCAGGTGTTTCTGTGGGTTAAACCAGCCGAGTCTTAATCCCTTTGGTCATCAGTCCTCCCTCTCTGTTACTGGCTTTCTTGAGTTCAGCTCAGTACTTAACCGAGGGAGTCTGCCTCTTCTTCCATCAGCCACTGAATGAAGTTTCTGTTTCCCACACTCTCTGGCCATGGGATTGTAGGCTGGCACTCCCCAGATCTATGTCTAAAATCCATATATGAGAGAGTACATACCATGTTTCTCTTTTTGTGACTGGGTTACCTCACTCAGGATGGTTTCTTCTAGTGTCATCCATTTGCCTGGGAATCTCAGGATTCCATTGTTTTTTTCTGCTGAATAATACTCCATTGTGTAAATGTACCACATTTTCTCTATCCACTATTCGGTTGAGGGATATCTAGGTTGCTTCCAAGTTCTGGCTATTACAAATAATGCTGCTATGAACATAGTGGAACAGACATCTTTGTTGTATGAATGGGCATCTTTTGGATATATGCCTAAGAGTGGAGTTGCTGGGTCTTGTGGTAGGTTTATTCCCATTTTTCTGAGGAACCTCCATACTGATTTCCAAAGTGGCTGAACCAGTTGGCACTCCCACCAGCAATGGAGGAGTGCCCCCTTTCACCACATCCTCTGCAGCATAAATTGTCTTCGGGGTTTTTGATTTTAGCCATTCTGACAGGAGTGAGATGGTATCTGAGAGTTGTTTTGATTTGCATTTCCCGGATGGCTAAGGATGTTGAGCACTTTCTCAAGTGCCTCTCAGACATTTTGGACTCCTCTATTGAAAATTCTCTATTTAGTTCTGCAGCCCACATTTTAATTGGGTCCTTTGGTGTTTTGGAGACTTGCTTCTTGAGTTCTTTGTAATTTTTGGAGATCAACCCTCTGTCAGATGTGGGATTAGTGAATATTTTTTCCCATTCTGTGGGCTGCCTTTTTGTCTTGCTGACTGTGTCCTTGGCCTTACAGAAGTTTCTCAGTTCAGGAGGTCCCATTTATTAATTGTTGATCTCACTGTCTCACACTATAACGGTGTGGGGCTTTAGATGTGATTTAAGTTCTAATAATGTTTCTTTTTTGAATGTGGATGCCTTTGTATTTGGGGCATAGATGTTCAGGATGGACACTTCATCTTGGTGGGTTTCACCTGTGATGAGTATGTAATGACCTCCTTCATCTCTTTTGATTGATTTTATTTTAAAGTCTAGTTTGTTAGATATTAGGATTGCTACCCCTGCTTGTTTCTTGGGTCCATTTGATTGAAAATATTTTCCCAACCCTTAACTCTCAGGTAATGTCTGTCTTTGAGTTTGAGGTGTGTTTCTTGTATGCAGCAGAAGGAAGGGTTCTGTCTTCGAATCCATTCTGCTAGCCTGTTTCTTTATATGGGTGAGTTAAGGCCATTAATGTTGAGGGATATTAATGACCATTGATTGCTCATCCTTCTTTGATTTGCAATGTTTGGTGGTGGTGGAATTATGTGTGGAATTTCACCCCTTCGTTCTTTTGGCTGTTGTGAGAGAGAGATTATCTAATGCCTATGTTTTTCTGGTTGTAATTAGCTTCCTTGGGTTGGAGTTTTCCTTCCAAACTTTTCTGTAGGGCTGGGTTAGTGGATACGTATTGCTTGAATCTAGTTTTGTCATGTAATATCTTGTTTTCTCTGTCTATAGTGATTGAGAGCTTTGCCGGGTATAGTAGTCTGGGCTGGCATCCATGGTCTCTTAGTGTTGGTAGAATATCTATCCCGGACCTTCTGGCTTTCAGAGTTTCCATGGAGAAGTCAGGTGTAATTCTGATAGGTCTGCCTTTATATGTTACTTGACCTTTTTCCTTAGCTGCTCTTAATATTCTTTCTTTATTCTGTATATTTGGGGTCTTGATTATTATGTGGCGAGGGAATTTTTTTTTGTGGTCGTCCACTCTATTTGGTGTTCTGTAAGCTTCTTGTACCTTCATTGGCATGTCTTTCTTAATGTTGGGAAAGTTTTCTTCTATGATTTTGTTGAATATGTCTTCTGCCCCTTTGAGTTGGTATTCTTCTCCTTCTTCTATACCTATTATTCTTAGATTTGGCCTTTTCATGGTATCCCATATTTCCTGGATGTTTTGTGTTAAGTATTTGTTGGACTTAAGGTTTTCTTTGGCTGATGAATCCATTTCTCCTAGTGTATCTTCAACACTTGAGATTCTCTCTTCCATCTCTTCTATTCTGATGGTAATGCTTGTATCGGTAGTACCTGTTTGCCCAGCTTTTCTATTTCCTCCCTTTCTTCAGATTGTGTTTTTTTATTGTCTATATTTCAGTTTTCAACCCTTGCAGTGTTTGCATTGCTTCTTGCAATTTTCGGTTTATCTTTTCATCCATTTGTTGCCTTTTATGAATTTTTTGTTTTGTTCTTTCTTCCATTTCTGGCATTTTTTGGTTTGCTTTTTGTTCCATTTCTTGCATTTTTTACTTTGTTTCCTCTTCCATTTCCTTCCTCGTATGGTTTGTTTCTTCTTCCATTTCTTTCATTTTTTGCTTTGTTTTTTCTACTGTTTCTTGCATTTTTTGCTTTGTTTCTTCTTCCATTTCCTGCCTTTTTTGGTATGTTTCTTCTTCCAATTCTTGCATTTTTTGCTTTGTTTTTTCTTCCATATCTTGCATTTTTTGCTTCGTTTCTTCTTCCATTTCCTGCCTTTTCTGGTTTGTTTTTTCTTCCAATTCTTGCATTTTTCGGTTTGTTTTTTCTTCCATTTCTTTGAGGGATTTTCCTATATCCTCTGTTAGGGCCTCTATCATTTTCATGAAAGTGGTTTTAAGGTCGTTCTCTTCTGCTTCGTTTGCATTGGAATGTTGGAGTCTTGCTGGTGTGGAGTCTCTAGAATCTGGTGGTGTCATATTTGTTTTTCTGTTGATGAGTGTTTTTTTGTATTGTCTCTTTCCCATCTCTTCTTCTAGTGGGTGCAGAAAGAGCCCCTTACTGGTCTGGTGGTTAGGGGACCAGCATTCCCTTTTGGTGGGTGCTAGCAAGTCCAATAATCTGGTTGTTCTTCTATTACTTGTACTCGTTCTATCCCGTGGGTGGAGAAGAAGAACAGGAATCTGGGGCGCTTAGCCTCCTACCTGGTCCCCTGGACCCTATGCTGGATCCTGTTGTACCTGATCCTGCTGCAGGCTGGAACAGCTGCTCCCCTGGACTCCCTGGCTCCTCTGGTTTCCTGGTCTGGTTTGTGGGAGAGAAGACCTGGAGTCTGGGGTGCTTGACTCCTGCCGGGATAGGAAGCTCTGTGCAGTTCCCAGGTGATCCACAGGCTCTGGTACTTATGCGCAGAAGCCGGCCTGTTTACCTGATGCTGCCGCCCGAACAGCTGCTGCCCTGGACTCCCTGCCTCCTCTCGTACTTAATATTTTTTAAGAAAGAACATGATGTTGGAGGACAGAGACAGGTATTACTGGTAAGATATATAAAGTATTAATCTTTCTTTTCTTTTTTATTTTGTTTTGTTTTCTTTGTGACAGGGTTTCTCTGTGTACCCCTGGCCGTCCCGGAACTTGCTGTGTATACCAAGCTGACTTTGAAGTTAGAGATCCTCCTGACTCTGCCTTAAGTGCTACCATGCCTGGCTTCTTGCACTCTTTCTCAACTCAATTTGTCCTCTTCTCTTTTTTTGAGAAATTTAGGACAGCCCTGTGTAGTCCTGGCTATCCTGGAGCCCACTGTGTAGACTATACTTGAGCTCCCAGAAATCGGTCTGTCTCTACTTCCTGTGTGCTGGGATTATAAGTATGCATCACCACCACTTGGCCAAAATATAGTTTAGGACAATATATTTTTATCATATTTTTCCTCTCTTTTTAATAGATCTGGAACATGAATTAATGAGATTGTATACCCAAGTTCAAAGGGACACTTCCCTCCTTGTTTGCATACTTCTGGAAACATCCATGCATCTACACCTCAGTGTGTGTATGTGAGCACTAGTTGCATAAAAGCTATGAATTTTCACAGAGACTGGAGACACAACTCTTAGTGCAGAGCACACATTCCTGTAGAAGAACTAACGTAACATCCTTCATTACACATCTGGAGATGCACACCTGCCTGAAACTTCATCTCCAGGGAATCTGATGTGCTAGTTTGGCTTCAGTTGGCACATGAACTCACATGTAAAAACACACAGCCTTACACACAATTAGCTGTCTGTAAAGAGAAGCCTTTTTCTTGAGAGAAACCTTCCCGCCAGCCTGGTTCCAGAGCCGCATCAGTCCCAAATAAACACACCGGAGGCTATATTAATTATGAAGCTGATGGCCTTGCTTGTTTCTTACTGGCTAGCTCTGATTTAAGTAATTACCCCATAATTGTTAATCTAAGTATTTCTCTTAACGGAGACTAGTTCCGGGCTTCCTACCCCATGGTGTTACATCTTGACTCCCTGTGTTTCTCTTTCCCAGAGTTCTCCTGGACTCCTAGTCCCACCTATCTAGATTCCTATTGGCCAGCAGTGCTTTATTGACAGATGCACAGGACTTTCCCCGAACAGCTGTCACAACAAGAGCATTGAAACTGCTCTTATTTATTGTGCTTATTATATTATTATATATGCTCTTCATCTTCCTGAAAATAACTTAGTCTTTCCTAGGGACAATCAGGGTCCTATCTTTTCATAGAATATACATTTCTCTCAGAATTCTGGATTTTATATTTTTCACCATTTCAAACCTCAGAACTCATGTATGTGATGTTAGTGATGATAAATGACAGTGTATGATGTGTGTGTGTACTCTGGTGTTTCACATTTCTCTGGTAAAATCTCAAAATATTAGGAGTAGACACCAGGAAATTCTCTATGGACAGCTCACGGAGTTGCAGTTATAGCCAAGGCTTCAGGATCCCTGAGTAATTCAACTGACTTTGGTGATGTGAGGCTTCCAGGCATGATGGCAGTGCCTGTCAATGTGCACGTCACATGAAGAAGGAGATGAAGCCTTGTAATTGGGTAACACCTCCAGTTGTTAGGCAACCAGGACCCAAGGCTAGGGTGTGGATGCTGAGACTTTTGGGGTGAATAGTCCCACCTCTACTAGCCTAACTATGATAATACTTCACGGCATTGGCAAACACTAACTGAACTAATCACTTACAGCTGTACCAATAGCATTACTTCCTTTGAGGGTCCAGATACTGTCAATTTGATATTTATCATCCAGATTTTATTGCAAAAGTGGTAGGGAATTTGTCTTAGGAAAGCAAATTTACCGCATAAATGTTTAAAATCAATCTCTTTATTAAACAAACTATTCATGGCACAAACATTTATGTAAAAGGCCAAGAAAATAGCTTGAAATTATTACATCTATGGTACTTGTTCCATCACTGCTTAGATGACAAAGCAAGCCATAAGTACTCACTAAATTGTAAATGACCTACCCAAAGAAGATAGAGCCCTATACATGAATGGAGGGTCTATATCCTCAAAACATAGGTGACCAAATTGTTACCATCAGTTCGAGAATGATCATTGATTTGTCTAAGGGAACCACTGGATATGAAAGATTCTTGTCTTAACCATAATTGTACAGACCGATTTTCAATGTAACACTTTCAAAGAGAGCAGAATGTTTAAATAGGGCCTCTGTGTGTGCAGCCCTCTGGTGGTAAATTAGGCCTCTGTGTGGTTATGTATGCTGCCCTCTGGTGGTCTGGTCTTAATGCTATCTATTGTAGAGAGGGAGCAGTGACCAGCTTGGGAAACCCACAGAAACAACTGACCTGTGCAAGTGGGAGCTCACAGATTCCAGACGACAATGGGGAGCCTGCATTAAGACTGAACTAGTCCTGGGAATCCAGCATGGGACTGATCAAGACCCCCTGAATGTGGGTGTCAGTGAGGAGACCTAGGTAATCTATTGAGCCTTGGGCAGCAGATCAGTACTCATCCCAAGTATACACACAGATTTGGACTCCCATCCAACAATGTGAGGTGCACTCTCACCCTGAACTCTTGGGGGAGGGTCTAGGCCCTGCCCTGTATGAAATGACAGACTATGGACACCCCCAAGGAGGGCCTCACCCCCCCAGGGGGAAATGAGGGGATAATGGGGGGTTGGGGGGAGGGCATGGGAGAAGGGGAGGGAAAGGGAGAGGGACGTGGAACTGACTTGTGAAGCAACCTTGTTTCTTTTCTACATTTAAACTGAAAAATAAATTTAAAAAAATTTTAAAAAAAGACCCAACTAGGTACCCTAAATGTGGGTGTTAGTTGGGGGGCCTGGGCAGTCTATGGGGCCTGTGGCAGTGGAATTAGTATTTACCCTAGTGCATTAATGAGCTTTGGGAGCCCCTTCTCTATGGATGGATATTCTCTCAGCCTAGATGCAAGGGGGAGGACCTAGGTCTGCCCCAAATGATATGATAGACTTTGATGCTCCCCCATGGGAGGCCTCACCCTCCTGAGGTGTGGATGGGGGTGGGATGGAGAGATGGTGGGGGGAATTGGAGGATGGGAGGGAGAGGAACTGGGATTGGTATATAAATTAATTACAAAAGGAAATGTAGGAACTGATACGAAGTCCTTGAGAAACCATCTTTGTTTTCAGGCCAGGAACATGGAGCATCTTTGTTTCTTTTCCTGTTAATGTGATAACAAATGGTGGGAAAGCAACTGATTTCAAAGCATTTTATTGCTGTTTTCTTTTTGCATTTGTTTGTTATTGTTGTTGTTTCTGTCACAGCTGTGGCCCCAGAATACTCCAGCATGTTACTTACATGAGCACTGATTTATGTGACTGCATATGAGAACAAAGGACATCATCATGGGGGAAATTCTGTTGGCAGGAGATGATAGGGCTGATCAAGCTGGTTACTCAGGTTACTCAGGTAAGAAGCAGAGAACACCAAATGTTAACACCCAGCAAGCTTTCTCCTTGTATGCATTCCATGACAAGACTTGGTGCATTCCATGGACAAGGCTTGGTGCAGACCAGTTGGGGTGTGGCTCTTCACACATCAAATTAATCCATATTTTCCTCAGTTGTGCTTGGAGTCTTGTCTCAGAGATGATTCCAGGTACAACTAAATCAAAAATAAATGATAATGACCCATAGGTTGAAATTAACAATTAAAATTTTGAGAAAATATCCCAGGGCGTGAAGAGATGGTTCAGTGTCTAGAGCACTTGAGACTTGAGCATGATTACTTGAGCCCAGATCACCAGATCTTCCAGACAAAACAAATAACAGTAGAAATGAGGATGTTGTGGCTCAAGCATCTCCAAGCCAGAATCACGTCCCCAGTGGTAGCAGGTAGAGAGATCACCACACACTGCGAGTCAGTTAGCCAGAGAATAAAAGAGAACCTGTCTCAGGTAAGAAGTGAGGCAACAACTAAATATGGATGTTATCCTCTCACGTAATTAGGCTCAAACCTCCTCCACATGTGACCCCCCAGACCTGCATACACACACATCATGTATGTCAAAGCCACACCCTCAAATGCGCACATGTGCATGCACACACATGAAGACATGTGTTATGTCTCTCTTTATGAAACCAGGTCTTTATCTCAACATGGTGAATGCCTTGCCTAAGTACTCATTGTCTTCCTAGAAAGTTTCTAAGAGAAAAATTTTCAGATATTTTAATTCCTAGATAATACATACAGTAAAGAAACTATATTATCAATTTGCTGCATTACATAAATTTCTCCTCCTTGTGTTTCTCCTCCTCCTCTTATTTCTTTCTTTCTTTTTTTAGAAATAGAGTATCCCTTAGTACACCTGGCTATTCTAGAAATAGCACTGTAGACCAGGCCTTGAGCTCAGAAGTCTGCCCGCCTTTGCCTCTGCCTCCCAAGTGCTAAGATTAAAGGTATGTGTCACCATGCCTGGCTATTTCTTTTTTTAACCTTAAAACTGTATTAATAGAAGATATTGCAGTTTAACCTCCTCCAACTCTTACTAGATGCTCCCCACATCCTGACCTGCTTAACTCCATGCCCCACCCCCCATGTGAGTGGTATAAAATTCCAAAAGTTCATGTGATTTTATAGCATTCATCAAAACACAGTATTATAGACATGACAAATGAAGAAACTGATTGACAGGAATTAAGAAGATAGCTGTTATGGGTTGGGAATTATGGCTATGATTGTAGAAGTAGAAATGTCCTAATCTTACTTCTATTGGTTTCTAATTAACAATTTTTCCCTCCTACCTTGGACACAATTACTGCCCCAATGGCTAATATGCTAGCAGCTTGGTCCCCATGTGGCAATATTGAGAGATGGTTGTACTTGTAAGAGTCAGGGCCTATATATAGTGCAGCAGCCCTGGAAGTGGGACTGCTGCTCTCTGCAGGAGTTAAGTTTGTTTTTACCTATAACCTGCTCAAGTCCTGCAGAAGGATTGTTTTTCAGAGAACAAGACTAGTCCCGGTTACTCTGGCTTCCTGCCTCAACATATCTCTCTCAAATATTCTCCCAAAGTGTCATTTGCTGTTATGTGACATCAACAATTTGGCCCTGATCTGAGTCCATGTTCATGAGACAGTATATTGCCTCTTGTCCTTTGACCACTAAAACAGTTAAAGACGGACCACGATCCAGTGTGTAGGGTTATGGGAGTGCATTAGAGTGTTTGGGATACAGGATATAGTAATGTGAATCTAAAAATATCTCAAACATAATTTTAAAAGCTAACATACAGATGGATAGTAAATATGTCATTTTGTCAGTTATGAAATGAGCCTTCCAGGCTTGACATCACAAAGGTCAGTCACTCTGACTAACGTAGAATCCTTAGGTCTCAGTGGTTGGTCTGCCAACTGCTCTGTCTGCCTTTGATGTCTAGTGCCAAGGATGAAGAGAAGTTTAGTCTACTGAAAGGCTCTCCATTCAAGGGTGCACTGGAAAGGTATTCTCTTAAGAACTAGTTCTGATCCTTATGATAGATGGGTGGGCTCGAATTATTCTGTTGTGTTTTCTCCAGATCATGTGAACTTGTTCTCCACTCAGCACAGCCCTTGTGAGAAACGAATCATTTTATGAAGTTCAGTGCTGATCCCCTCAGAAAGGAGATATCACGGTGTCAGGGGACAGAGGTCCTTGGACACGTGGGACAAAAGTGCTTGTAAATGAACATGCCTGTCCAAGTTAGGTAGGAGGATTTACGTTTTGCTGAACTTGGTCATTTTGCCCAGTGTGAGCATGAAGGCCAACTGAATAGCGGTAGGACCTCAACCAAACATCTAAGAACTTTCTGGTTCTCAGAAATTTTTTAGTGTTTCTGTATTTATTGTTGCTAACACCAATTTTACAAATTTGAACTCTGTTTTACCTAAGATAGGAATGGCTTTTCCAAACATCCTTATGTACTTGAATTTACATGAAACCAAGTGTGAATTACTTTGGCCTTCAGTCAAATTAGACAGCTGTTGCTTTCCACGACATATGAACATCGCTATGACAAATATAGGGGTATGGCTGGTGATGCGAGTTACAGCGTGTGAAGGAGTATCTCAGGTCAGACCCAGATTCCTCCTGAGTTTGTGTCTGAAGTCGTGGCATTTCAGCATTATGGACTTACCCTCCACCGCTGAGAGGAAAGCAAGCCACACAGAAACTGCCTGTATTGTTTCTGTAGTCATTTGTTTACTCTGAACATCACAAGGAGAAGAGATTTTCAATGCATGGCCTTAAGCTTTTTGTGTGATATCTTGCTTGTAATTCTTTGGGTGACCACTATCACCCCAGCTGGGGTAACCACACAGGAATATGTATACACACAAATGCGCAATGTATGTTTAGGTAAACATAAGCTAACTTGATTCCTTGAGGGTTAATCAGACTTTCTATTTGTCTCTCAGCCCTTCCTCTGCTTCTGTAGTGACTGTGGAATCAGAGCCTCCCTCTCCATGCATCCCACTTTCTCCTTCAGATCACCTGCTTCCTGGTGGTCCTCTTCACAGTCCCTGCCCCCATGGTCCCTTTTTACTTCTGCTCTTTTTGCAGTTACTCCATGTTGTATATTCATTTTTGAGATTTTTGAGCTAAGAACTGCAGACGAGAGAGAACATGTGCTGTTTGTCTTTCGATGTCTCTGTTAACTCTTACTATATATTTTTTGGATTTCCATACATGTAACTGCAAAGATCATGACTCTGTTGTTCTATACAACTGAACAGTATTTTTTCGTGTGCATGTACTGCAATTTTATTGTCCATTCATCTGTTGAGGGATATTCCGGTTGCTCTATTTTCCAAATGCTGTGAACAGAGCAACAGTGAACACGGCTCAGCAGGTGTCTGCGGAGTAGAGTTGAAGTTCTTTGTGCATATGCCGAGGAGTTGGCCAGCTGGGCCATATGGCAGATTTCTCTAAGTGAGGACTCTCCAGACTGATTGCCCGGGTGGCTTCTTAAGTTTTTATTCCCGCTACCAATGAGTTTCCTGGTTTCCCACACTTTTGTGTGTGATGGCCTTTGTTTTGTTGACCTTAGCCATTCTGAGTGGGGTGAGATGAAATCACAAACTTGTTTTTGATTGGCACTTCAAGAACTGATAAGGAAGATGAGCACTTGTTGAGATATTTCCTAGTCAAAACTATCTTATTTGAGTCTTTCTTGAAGGTTGAATCACAGTGACTTTCATGAACATATATTTATGAAAACATATAAACAAATATCAACATATACATATATGAACTTATATACAAACATACATGTATCTCAGCAAATCCAAGTGAATAAGACAGAGAATGAAAACAATGATTTAGTTACGTTTAGAAAACTGAGTCTATGGCACTCTTCACATTTCTCATAAACTTTATCCTCCTGACCCCTGATTATGCTACTGACCTCTTGACTATCCAATTGACCTCTATCCTGTGGCCTCTGACTATCCTGTTGAACTCTGGCTATCATGGTGACCTATGACTATCCTAATGACCTCTGGCTATCTTATTGACCTGTGGCTATCCTATTGACCTCTGACAATCTTGGTGATCTCTGGCTATCCTGGTGACCTCTGACTATCCTATTGCCCTCTTTCCTGTTGACCTCTGAATATCCTGTTGACTTCTGGCTATCTATCGTAGTGACCTCTGACTATCCTGCTGACTTTTGTTCCGTTAGTGTTTGCCCTGTCACAGGAGAAGCCTCTTTACTGAGATGGAAATTCTAAATGGGAAAGTCACAGATGCAAAAATCAAGAATCAACCCCTGATGTTCCATGGAGCAGTGGAACTCAGAAGAGGCAGTGTCAGTAAGAAGTGTCACCTCTACCTGTACAGAGATTTCTTGGTTGTGACAAATAGTCGGTATGCTTTACTTTCAGACTCCTAATTACCAGAAATCACAATGTGTCTCCCTTACCGTGGGACAATCTAAGGGAATTTACCCTTATGATTTTACAAATGTTTTGATTCCTTATTTAACAATCCATGGAGCCTTTGTTTTGTCCAATGCCCTAGTAGAAAATAAAATGACAAATCTATACTGGCAGCCATGCTTGTTTGCACATACCAATAACACAAACATTTTGGGATGTTATTAGTATATAACCAACTATAGATCTGGCTATTAAGGGGGGAAGAAACAAATGGCAACGTGGGAGGGAATGTTTGAGAATAAAATTCTGTTGTGGTACATTATTCATACTTCCAAGATAGCTTGTAGATTTAAAAATCCCTTAACAAGTTCATGGAATTGATCCACACACTCCAACTATAAAAAAGCAATCCCAGTGCAAAGAATGCTGGCCCTTGGAAAGAGGAAGCCCACGCTGGATGGAGGAGAGACTTGTTCCCCAGAGCTGTGCTCCCACAAGGATGCTGAGAACATGAAGAGTTGGGGAGGCTCAGCAGTTCTGATCTGTGGTTGGCTATTACACTTCCTGGATCCAAACCCTGTCTCTGTTGCTTTGGGCTATTAGCCATTCTGACCCTTCCTCACGCATGGAGTGGGGTTAATAGAGATTATCTGATGCTGTTGAGGTGAAATTGAACAGCAATAATTTTTAGGTTTCTTAGAAAATGGCAGGTAGCTATCCATCATGTCACAGCAGAATGGGTAATGTGTTCTTTAAATCCAACTGTTGACTCGGGTTTAAGGAAGCGTGAAACCTGAATTCATTGAAATAAGACCAAATTATTGAAATGAATGTTTCCTCTCTGTACATATGAGAATGAATAGTTAAGACAGTATGCTTCAAATGCATTGTATAATCTATACTCAATGCAGATGTGGAAAGGGTACTGTCAGAGCCTCCCCGAGGCACACTGCCCTCAGTGAGGCTTTACTGGATTCTATCTGCCCACTTGCTGGGCTGTGCCTGGAGGGATAGAGATGAATTGGTGCTGATTTGCTTATGCCATGAGCACAGATTACCCCATTTAAAAAAACAAACTAACACAGATTTTCTTTAATTCTTTTTTAGGTATAAGATAACCTTTAAGATAAAATATGTCATCCCTCTGACATCCCTCTGGATTGGGGACTGTGTGGACACAGACTTTGTAGGCCCCAGTCAGGCCAGGAAATCCATTTTCCTAGGCTGGCCCATGGAGAACTTCATCGCCACTTTCCGGTAATAACCAGAACTTGTTCTTTTGGTGGCACTGGGTGTGTATGGAAGGACACAATTGACATTATAATATCTAGTACACACAGACAGTTTAAATGTAAAATCTGTTCTCAGAACTTAAAAGAAAAAAACCATTTTAATCTGATTGTATGAACACTGTCTCTTTATAACCTACTGTATTATTTTCTAAGAGACATTTCAACAGGCTTTCATTTTAAAATGAATCAAAAGTGGGAGTCATTTAAGGAACATCCTAAGATATTGATCATTGGGTTTTTAGCAGACACCAATTTCCTGGTAGCCAGACTAAAAGTGTGTGCAGCTTCTATGGAAGGAAGTGTAGGGAGGAAGACTGTGGGACTTCTTTTCCAGAATCTTAGATAGATGATCAGGTGTTATCCTAATAGATGAATATGTTAGGTACTTTTCTTCAGTAATATTAATTATGCCAGATAGCATAAAAATTCCTTTGATGCCCCCAAATGATCAGGATCTTACTGTACTAAATTATATTTCTGTCATCAATGTCAAGAACTGCAAGTGTCTGTTTATCAATTTACATATTTGATGACTACAGACAAGAGGCGAGACTGGCATCATTAGACTCTCAGAGGTGACTTGTGGGGAGCAGGCTAGTTTCCCATTCTCAGGCCACCATATAGATAGGGACTGTCAGTGTGTCCTAGAGAGCTCTCAAGTGGCACTGAGCTTAGGGACTCCCAGGGATCGTGTGGAAGCACATGCTACTCTGGACAGCCACAGAGCAGCTCTATATGAAACACACTAGCTACCGTATGAAAACAATCCACCTACCATATGAAAACAATCCACCTACCATATGAAAACACACTGGCTACCATATGAAAACACACTGGCTACCATATGAAAACACACTGGCTACCATATGAAAACACACTGGCTACCATATGAAAACACAGTAGCTACCATATGAAAACACACTAGCTACCATATGAAAACACACTGGCTACCATATGAAAACATACTAGCTACCATATGAAAACAAACTGGCTACCATATGAAAACAAACTAAATACTATATGAAAACACAGTGGCTACCATATGAAAACACACTCGCTACCATATGAAAAGTTCATCCATGATGTCCACACTGTTCTGTCCTCCCATCAATCCTCCTCCAGACCTCAAGCCTCACCCCAGAGTTCCCTCAGCTAATACAGGTGTCTTCTTGCTTTGTAACATTACTCAATACAGCCTCAGCTCATTACGTAAGGAAAACATTCCCAGAGATTTTTAGGGAGAAATCCATCATTGTGTCCTTCTCTCAGTCCTTTCTATTGTATCACTGATTTGCCAGGTTATTACATTTTATTTTGATTGTTCCCTTATGTTTGACATGTGATGAAGCAGTTTAAATGCATATATGTAAAGAGTTTGATGAGAAATTTCCAAGAGTTCTTCTTACACTGAGTGGCTGAACTTTAGATATGTTCATTATGTTAGGTTGGTTGTTCAGACCAGTTCTTTTTTTTTTATTTTCCAGTTTAAATTTAGATAAGAAACAAGGTTGCTTCACAAGTCAGTTCCAGGTCCCTCTCCCTTTCCCTCCCCTCCTCCCATGCCCTCCCCCCAAACCCCCCCTTATCCCCTCATTCCCCCAGGGAGGGTGAGGCCCTCCATGGGGGTGTCCATAGTCTGTCATTTCATATAGGGCAGGGCCTAGACCCTTCCGCAAGAGTTCAGGCTGAGAGTGCACCTCACATTGTTCTATGGGAGTCCAAAATCCATGTGTATACTTGGGATGGGTACTGATCTGCTGCCCAAGGCTCAATAGATTCCCTAGGCCTCCTCACTGACACCCATATTCAGGGGGTCTTGATCAGTCCCATGCTGGATTCCCAGGTTGATGCCTGGGATTCAAGAGTTAACCTTTGTCTAGTCAGCTGTTTCTGGGGGGTTAAACCAGCCCAGTCTTCATCCCTTTGATCATCAGTCCTCCCTCTCTGTTACTGGCTTTCTTGAGTTCAGCTCAGTACTTAACCGAGGGAGTCTGCCTCTTCTTCGATCAGCCACTAAATGCAGTTTCTGTTTCCCAGACACTCTGGCCATAGGATTGTAGGCTGGCACTCCCCAGATCTATGTCTAAAATCCATATATGAGAGAGTACATGCCATGTTTCTCTTTTTGTGACTGGGTTACCTCACTCAGGATGGTTTCTTCTAGTGTTATCCATTTGCCTTTGAATCTCAGGATTCCAATGTTTTTTTTCCGCTGAATAGTACTCCATTGTGTAAATGTACCACATTTTCTCTATCCACTCTTGGGTTGAGCGACATCTAGGTTGCCTCCAAGTTCTGGCTATTACAAATAAAGCTGCTATGAACATAGTGGAACAGACATCTTAGTTGTATGAATGGGCATCTTTTGGATATATGCCTAAGAGTGGAGTTGCTGGGTCTTGTGGTAGGTTTATTCCCATTTTTCTGAGGAATCTCCATACTGATTTCCAAAGTGGCTGAACCAGTTGGCATTCCCACCAGCAATGGAGGAGTGTCCCCCTTTCACCACATCCTCTCCAGCATAAATTATCATTGGTGTTTTTGATTTTAGCCATTCTGACAGGAGTCAGATGGTATCTCAGAGTTGTTTTGATTTGCATTTTCCAGATGGCTAAGGATGTTGAGCACTTTCTCAAGTGCCTCTCAGCCATTTTAGACTCCTCTATTGAAAACTCTCTATTTAATTCTGCAGCCCACTTTTTAATTGGGTCCTTTGATGTTTTGGAGACTTGCTTCTTGAGTTCTTTGTAATTTTGGAGATCAACCCTCTGTCAGATGTGGGATTAGTGAATATTTTTTCCCATTCTGTGGGCTGCCTTTTTGTCTTGCTGACTGTGTCCTTTGCCTTACAGAAGCTTCTCAGTTTCAGTAGGTCCCATTTATTAATTGTTGATCTCACTGTCTGTGCTGCTGGTGTTATGTTCAGGAAGCTGTCTCCTGTACCAATTCGTTCAAGAGTACCACCCACTTTCTCTTCTAAGACGTTCAGTGTGGCTGGATTTATGTTGAGGTCTTGATCCATTTGGACTTAAGTTTTGTGCATGGCGATAAACATGGATCGATCCGCATTCTTCTGTATGCCAGTCTCCAGTTATGCCAGCACCATTTGTTGAAGATGCTTTCTTTATTCCATTGTATATTTTTAGCTTCTTTGTCAAAGATCAGATGTTCGTATGTGTGTGGGTTAATACTCGGGTTTTCAATTCGATTCCATTGGTCTACCTGTCTATCTTTGTGCCAATACCAATTTGTTTTCAGGACTATAGCTCTATAATAGAGCTTGAGGTCAGGGATGGTGATGCCTCCGGACGTTGCCTTGTTGAACAGGGTTGTTTTGGCTATCCTGGGTCTTTTGTTTTTCCATACAAAATTGATTATTGTTCTTTCAAGGTCTGTGAAGAATTGTGCTGGGATTTTAATGGGGATAGCATTGAATCTGTAGATTGCTTTTGGCAGGATTGCCATTTTTACTACATTGATCCTACCTATCCAAGAGCATGGGAGATCTTTCCATTTTCTGAAGGCTTCTTTAATTTCTTTCTTTAAAGATTCAAAGTTCTTACGATACAGGTTTTTCACTTGTTTGGTTAGTGTTACCCCAAGGTATTTTATGTTGTTTGTGGCAATTGTAAAGGGTGATGTTTCTCTGATTTCTTTTTCAGCCCTTTTATAATCTGTATAAAGTAGGGCTACTGATTTTCTTGAGTTGATCTTGTAGCCTGCCACTTTGCTGAAGGTGTTAATCAGCTGTAAGAGTTCCCTGGTAGAGTTCTTTGGGTCATTGATGTAAACTATCATATCATCTGCAAACAGTGAAAGTTTGACCTCTTCCTTCCCAATTTGTATCCCCTTGATCCCTCTTTGTTGTCGTATGGCAATAGCTAGAACTTCAAGTACCATGTTGAAAAGGTATGGAGAGAGTGGACACCTTGTTTTGTTCCTGACTTTAGAGGAATTGCGTTGAGTTTCTGTCCATTTAGTTTGATGTTGGCTGTTGGTTTACTGTATATAGCTTTTATTATGTTTAAGTATGTCCCTGTAATCCCAGATCTCTCCAAGACCTTTATCATGAAGGGGTGTTGGATTTTGTCAAAGGCTTTTTCAGCATCTAGTGAGATGATCATGTGATTTTTGTTTTTCAGCTTGTTTATATGGTGGATTACGTTGATGGATTTTCGTATGTTGAACCACCCTGCATCCCTGGGATGAAACCTACTTGATCGTGGTGAATGATTGTATTGATGTGTTCTTGAATACGACTTGCCAGTATTTTATTGAGTATTTTTGCATCAATATTCATGAGGGATATTGGTCTGAGGTTCTCTTTCTTAGTTGTATCTTTGTGTGGCTTGGGGATCAAGGTTATTGAAGCCTCATAGAAAGAGTTTGGCAAAGACCCTTCTGCTTTTATTGTGTGGAACACTTTGAGAAGAATTGGTATAAGCTGTTCTTTGAATTTCTGGTAGAATTCTGCACTGAGGCCATCTGGACCTGGGCTTTTTTGGTTGGGAGACTTTTGATGACTGCTTCTATTTCCATAGGGGTTATAGGTCTATTTAAATTGCTTATCTGTTCTTGATTTAGTTTTGGCAAGTGATAGCTATCCAGGAAGTCATCCATTTCCTTTAAATTTTTGAATTTTGTGGAGTACAGGTTTTCAAAGTATGACCTAATGATTCTCGGGATGGCTGGTAGACCTCTCTGATAAATGCATCCCCAGAATAATACAGATGGGAAATCGGGAGCACTTGAGGAGCTGTTAGTGAAGTAAGCAAGAAATATGCTCACCATTGGGAAAAAGGACAATTGAATGGTTCCACGGGAAGTCCAACAACTAGTCCATTTGAGTCGGCAGCTCTGATCTTAGTTGTAGACTCGTGTAAAATGAAAACACACTACATTAAAGACTATGCACAAAAATTTCAATAGCATAATTCATTACTAGCAATAGTGTAAGAAACTAAATATTCAACCATTAAATGGATAACAGAAATGAAATACTTTCAGTAAGTGTTCAATTTTATATATCTCTTTAATGATCCAATGCAAACAAATCTTCTACCTTTGCAATCTCTTCAGTCAGCAGGAACCCACAAGGCTCAATCTCCCTTTTATCTGTGAACATCAAGCTCAGAGCAGCTGCCTCACCAGACAGAGTTCAGTTATCACAGATCACACAGCTTCAGTCAACCAAGTTCCCCACCACTGCTCACTTCTCGTCACCAGGAGGTCCTCTGTCAAAGGGCAGGTCTGTCAGGTTCCCAGATGTGTGCAGGACACTCACTTGATAACCACAGACCACAGGCTTCTAATATTGTGTCATGAAAGAAACTCGACTTTATATGATTTAACTTTTCTCCATCTTTATATTACAGGTCTGTGGACCAAAAAAGAGATTGGTGGTGTTTCCTTGAAAGGTAGTTTGTTGTGCATTTTTAATTCTGTAAGCAGTAATGAATGAATAAGAGTCTGTGCAACACACAAGCCTGTTCCCCTTGTTCTGATAGAGCTTTTAGTCTGTCCCAAGTCATCTTCTGGGCTAGATGGTCTGGCGACTATTGTAATTTCTCTCTTCTCTGTGTTTGAGGAAGTGTGGTGGCTGCCATTCTCATATGTTCCTCTTCTCCCTCCTTTATGTTGGAGCAAAGATTATTCCAAAAGATAATAGTACTGCTCAGTCACATCACTGAAAACAAATGCTACTCCTTGTTCATAAACTCTGTAAAGTGTCGTCTACAGTAATGTACACAGGAATGTTTGAGAACTGGCACTGTTTCCTAATTGTCAAAACCTAAGACAGCTCTGTCTTCTAGAACTTATCCTGTTATTCCAAACCGTGTTTTTCATTTGATGTGCAATGATATTTCTGCTGAGTTCATCCATTTGCTTTTAACATGTTTAAGCATTGACAAACTGGATTGATGAACTAGTTTATTTCATATCTTTGTCTTTTTCTTGAATGTGAGCAGATCTATTAAACAGACAAAGGAGAAGTACCATGGGAGGAGTACTGCACTGGAGATATTCACAGATGACATCCCGAGCTCGAAAACTGTATGTACCTCAGACTAAAATGACGTTATAATAATGATAGATGCAGAAAAGGAAGATGAGGTCAAGGAGGAGAAGATAGTGGAAGAATGGGGAGAAGTGGGATGAAAAGGGGTAGAATTAGAGAGATAAAAATGGCAGGACATTGAAAGTTTAGTCTGTGCTACCAGGAAATAAGTATTTCCTGTATACAAATGCATCTTTGCCTGTATAAAACAACTGCTAATTAACATGAATCAAGAGTAAGCCTTGCTAGCTACATTACACAGACATAGCAAAATGGCTCCTACAAAATGACAATGAACCGAGTATTGGTGGTATTCTTATATATTTTTGGTTGTGAGCCTAGCCTTTAACAGCTGAGCCAGCTCTCTAGCCCTGGTGGTGTTCCTATAGAACAGTTTTCCTAAGCAGGCATTTAGTTTGATGTCAGATGTTGGTTTGCTGTATATTGTTTCTAATATGTTCAGGTATGTTCCTGTTATCCCTGATCTCTCCAGGACATTTACCATGAAGGGGTGTTGGATTTTGTCAAATGCTTTTCCAGCATCTATTGAGATGATCATCTTTTTCAGTTTGTTTATGTGGTGGATTCTACTGATGGATTTTTATATGTTGAACCATCCCTTCATCCCTGGGATGAAGCCTACTTGATCATGGTGGATGATTTTTCTGATGTGTTCTTGAATTCAATTTGTCAGTTTCTTATTGAGTATTTTTGCATCAATATTCATGGGAGATATTGGTCTGCAGTTCTCTTTCTTAGTTATGCCTTTGTGGTGCTTGGGTACCATGGTAATTGTGTGCTCCCCTTTTTCTGTTTACAATCTCACAACAGTGAATGAGTGCTCCCCGTTTTCTGTTTACCATCTCACAACAGTGACGAGTTCTCCCGTTTCCCCCATCATTTCCAGCACTTGTTGTCAGTTGTTTTCTTTATTTTAGACATTCTGACCAGGTCAAAATGAAACCACATTTGTTTTCATTTTGCATTTACCTAATTGCTAAGGAAAATGAACAAGTTTAAAGATATCCCTTAGCCATTTTTATTTCTTTTTTGGAGGACTCTGTTCAGATGTGGGACACATCTTTCAACTGTGTCGATTGTTTTCTTGACTCTATCTTCTATAACCTGAATATTGGCCGTCTGCCAGGCGAATGCCTAGCAGTGGCTCTCCCCCTTCCTCTCCTCTCTGTTGTCACTCAGTGATGGATTCCTTAGCTGTACAGAGGTTTCTATTCACTGTTGTCTCAGTTCCTGTGCATCCGGAGTCCTAGTCAGAAATTCCTTCCCCACACCTACATCATGAAGCACTGCCTACACTTTCTGCTACTACTTTCAGCGTCTCAGGCGCCACATTGTGGTCTTCAATCCATTTGGATTTGATACTTTGGGGAGTAATTGATCCCTTCATAGTTTCTCTATTTATGCATGAGGACATCCATCATTCTCAGCACCGTTTTGCTGTGGCTTTGTTTTTTGACACAGGGTGTATAGTTCAGGCTGTCCTGGGACTCTCTGTCCAGACCGGACTAACCTCAAACTCGGAGATCTTCCTGCCTCTGCCTGCTGAGTGCTGGGATGAATGCATGTGCCACCCCTGCCCACTCCCATCACCATCGTTGATGTTTTTAATGTCTTTGCCAAACATAGGGTGGCTGTAATTGTGTGTGCTCATGTTGAGGTCTTTGTTTTGGCTCTGTTGCTCTACAAGTTTGTGTTGTGTCACTACTCTGCATTCTTCTGTCTTGAAATCAGTAATGGTAAAACTTCCATCATTAATTTTTTGAACAGAATTGTTTTTGTTATTTAGGATATTTTGCGAATTCCATAAATTTTAGTATGTTTTACATTTCTATGAAAAACATTGTGGGACTTTGATATGGGTTCTATTGACTCTGCAGGTTGTTTTGTGTACAATGGACATTTTCATAATAGTCATTTTACTGACTCATGAGCATGGGAGGTCTTTCCATTTCTTAATGTCTGACTCAATCACTTTCTTTCAGAGATTTATAGTTCTCATTTAGGGCCTTTAGCCTTATATTAGATTCATCCCAATATACTAAATTTGGGTTTGGTTTGTTCTTTTTCTATATTCTTGAGTTGTATCACTAAGTCCTTGAATTGTGCACTTTTTTATTTTTTAAAATTAATTTTCATTTAAATTATAAACAATCTTATTGTACATACCAATCCCAGTTCCCTTTCCCTCCCATTCTCCCATTACCCCTTCCATGTCCTCATCCCAGGCCCCATCCACTCCTCAGGGGTATCATCAACGTCTGTCACATTATTTGGGGCAGGACCTTAGCCTTCTCCTGTGCATCTAGGCTGAGAGATATCCCTACATAGGGAATGGTTTTCCAAAGCCCACTCATGCACTAGGGATAAATGCAGGTTCCACTGGAAGAGGCCCCATAGACTACCCTGTCCCCCAACTGACACCCACATTCAGGGGGCCTGGATCAGTCTTATGCAAGTTCCCCAGTTGCCAGTCTGGAGTCCATGAACTCTCACTTGCTCAGGTCAGCTGTTTTTCTGGGTTTTCCCAGCATGGTCTCGACCCCTTTGCTCATCATTCTTCTCTCTCAACAACTGGATTCCAGGAGTTCAGCTCAGGACTTGGCTATGGATCTCTGCTTCTGTTTCCATCAGCTACTGGATGAAGGCTCTAGGTTGGCATTTAAGGTAGTCATCAATGTCGTTTTAGGGGAAGGGCATTTAAGGTACTCTCTCCACTATTGCTTAGATTCTTAGTTGGGGTCATCCTTGTGGATTCCTGGAAAGGTCTCTAGTTCCAGATTTCTCATTAAGCCCATAATGGCTACCAATATTAAGGGATCTCTTTCCTTGAGCCCATTTCTGTTCTTCCCTCAGCTCTACCTTCTTGATTCCTCATGTTTTCCTTTCCCTCCCCCTTCCCCCCTACTCTTCCTACTCCCTCCCTTGCCCCTCCGGGGGGGCTCCTAATTTACTTGCTCCTTTCCCCCTTCTTGGGGAGTCCATGTATGTTTCTCTTAGGGTCTTCCTTGTTTCCTAGCTTCTCTGAGGTAGTGCATTGCAGGCTGGTTATCTTTCTATGTCTAATGTCTATTTATGAATTTTTTATTTATGTTTGTCTTTCTGTGTGTGGGTTACCTCACTTAGGAGGTTTCTTCTAGTTCCATCCATTTGCCTGCAAATTTCAAGATGTCATTTTTTTTTTTACTTCTGAGCAGTACTCCATTGTGTAAATGTACCATATTTTCTTTATCCATTCTTCCATTGAGAGGCATCTAGGTTGATTCAAAGTTCTGACCATTACAAACAGTGCTGCTATGAAAATACCTGAAGAGATGTCCTTGTCGTAAGAATGTACATCATTGGGTGTATGCCTAAGAGTGGAATTGCTGGGTCTTGAGGTAGACTGATTCCCATTTTCCTGAGTAAACCCAGACTGATTTCCAAAGTGGCTGTACAAGTTGGCACTCCCACCAGCAATGTAGAAGGATTCTCCTTTCTCCACATCCTCTCCAGCATAAACTGCCATTGGTATTTTTTTTATTTTCGCCATTCTGATAGGTGTAAGATGGTATTTCAGAGTTGTTTTGATTTGCATTTCCCTGATGGCTAAGGATGTTTATCGCTTAAGAATTGCTCGTTTGGATCTTTTATCTTATGCAATTAGAACTATAAAGTAGCTCCTAGAACTGCTTTCAGTATGTCTTAGATGTTCTGTTGTGCTGTGCTTTCTATTTTCACTGAGTTCCAGTTTTCGCTTTTATTTATTTCTTGATTTTTTAAAATTTATCTACCTATCCTTCAATTATGAGATATTTTCATCTCCATGAGCTTTTGTTATTACTAGTTATTTGTTTGCCATTCATTTAAATCTGAGTTCATTATGCTCAGATAGAATGAATGCATTGAGTTATTTCAGTTTTTCACAGTTTCTGAAGATTTGTTAATGACCCTTCACGTCATCTGATTTAGCAATAATTCTGTGGGCTACTAAATAGAATATACATTGCTTAATTGTATGGAATATTCTATGTCTTTTAAATGACATTTAGTTAGCTTTAAATGTTTTCTCCTTAAGTTGGCACAATTATATACATACAAAAAAGCACAATATTACAAAGAGCATCATATACTTCAGTATATATTCACTTGTTTGGTAATATTCACTTATGTGTATGTGATCTGGTATAAATTACTATGGCTCTGAATGCTTAGCAATCTCCCAAGCATAAGAGTATTCTTTTATATAACTACTATTTGACTGTGAACTTTTAAGATGTAACATTGACGAGCACCATGTTTTCCAGGAATTTATTTCATTCACCAAGCTTCAGAAAAGCATTTTTACATGCTGAGTCATTGTCCCTATCATATTATATTTTGAATACACCAAGGCTTTTGAGAGATACCCATTATATCCTAAAACTTCTTACTGGTCTCACGCTATGTGAAGGAAAGAAAATCATAATCAATTCTCATGTTTCTATATGCTTTTCTCTGTCATTATTTCTTGTAAGCTCTGGTCATGTGTGGTAATAAGTGGGTTAATAACTATTAAATCAAAGGATTTCATATTGTTAATTGGCAAAATACTTTTCTCTGTGTTTTCTACAGTCTTTCACTATAACAGCAACACATTTGGACACAGTGAATGATATAATCATGAAGTTACGACCATTGTTGGGAATACTCGTGAGTGACTCCAAAACACTTCTTAACTTGCCAATTTTTATTTTTGTGGTCCATATGCATTTAATGTTCGTGTAAACATTGCTGTCAGATACCTGACTATTCTGTGTCAGTTTTCTGCTCTTTCATCTCCACTTGAAGCAGCACAGACAGCCAGCATGCTACCTAAGGCCCTAGGTAGGGGCTACTTTATTATTCTGTGAACTTTCATGTGAATGAAAACCCGAAGCATGCTGGGCGTGGTGGTGCATGTCTTAAATCCCAGCACTTGGGAGGCAGAGGCAGGAAGAGCTCTGTGAATTGAAGGCCAGCCTGGTCTCCATAGTTCCAGGATAGCCAGGGCCATTACACTACAAACCCTGTTTTCAGAGAGGGAAAAAAAGAAGAGCCAAAATAAATAAAAATAATAGAACAATAAATGAAACACGTGTATGGTCAAGTGCAAAACCAACATGAATTTTGATGTGTATATTTTATATGGATATATATATATACATATATATATGCAATGTTTGTACATATGTTTATATACCTATTTACTACTTGTTAATAGCACTTTCCAAATGTGTTTTTCGGTTGTTCTTTCTGTATTTTCTTTTCTATTTCCTGCTTTTTTATACTATTTTATTCCTTGAGGACTGTTTCAATAATTGCTTAATGACAGGTTTGATGCATAACTTGAATTATCATGTGATTAAAGTCATTATAGCATGGAAACCCAACAGATGATGCCTGTAAAGAGGGTGATGAGGATTGAAAGAGACCATGGATGTTGCTACTTAATTATTCCTTTACTCGCACATTTTAATTTGTGTGTGTACATGTGTGTGCAGATGTGTGCAAGTGTATGTAGGGGCGTGTGATCATTGGGTGGAAATGCATGCAAAGGACAACTTTGTGGATTTGTTCTCCGTGTCTGGAGGCAAGCACCTGTACTTCCTGAGCCATATCTTCCCGCTCACTTATGTCATTGGCTTGAATACTTTGCAGCATCTCTTTAGGCTATGAGGGGACGCTATCCATGGTTGGCATTGCTGATAGCAGACTTGGGGATGTCTGAGGGTTGCAGGCCAAAAGAGGAAGGTCCACAGGACCAAATCATTAAAAAAAACCACTTTTGCAGCATCTTTCCTGTGAAAATTCCTTGTTATAACAATATATCTAGAATTTATATTTAAATTTTGTTGGAATGATAAGATTAAATCTCTTGAGTCAGTATATGACATAGTCACTTCTACATATGTGTATAATGAAATAATTATTTTAAGCATACACATTTTTATATTTTATAGCAGACATCTTAACATTGATATCCATCATGCATGATACATGTGTCTTTGTAAGAATTGACTATTGGGAGTGAATCATATGGTTCTCCTTGGGTACACTGACTGACAATGAAATGAACTTAATCTTGTTCACATTCATGAATACTTATGTGTAAATGGTTTGGTCTCGCCAGCAAGAAAAGCAGGGTTTTAATATAAAGAGTCATGATTATTTTTGGCTTTTGAGACAGGGTTTCTCTGTATTGTTTTGGAGGCTGTCCTGGAACTTGCTCTGTAGACCAGGCTGGCCTTGAACTCACAGAGCTCTGCCCGCTTCTGCCTCCGGAGTGCTGGGATTAAAGGCGTGAGCCACCAACGACAGGCAAGAGTCATGATTATTTGCTCATATTTGTATACATGATTTGTGGTATTCTAACTCATTTTTTAGCATGTTGCAGGGAAGTATTTTTATTAGATCTTAGTTCCTTTCTGCAACAATTTTGGTGACATTACTGTATCTCTCCCCCGCCACCACTGTGTATGTGTGTGTGTGTGTGTGTGCTTGTATTTGTGTGTGTTCTTGAAGAGCACATGTGTGAGTTGCACTTCTAATTGGGTCCCCACTGCAAAACAAAGCTGTAATTTTAATCGGGCATCAAAACATCTTAATACCCTAATAAACAATATCACCTTGTGAGGAGTATGTTTTCCATTCTGGTAGAGATGTGATATAGACCAATAGGTTCTATATAATTTACGTGTACTTGTTTCAAATGTATTCCCAGTGTGGACAGGAATTCTGTGGAACTCATTTACTGCATTGGGACTATTTTCACTTCCAGACCCTTGCCCCTTCCCTTTGCAGATTGGGGATTCTCTGAAGGAAATCACATGCTGACTTCACACCCCAGTCTCCTCCAGGCCTCTCTGGCCTTTGTCTCTTTTGCTCAGACTTGCTGAAATTCCAGGCTTTCAAGGATCACTTGGCTCAGCCATCACAGTCATGGTGAAAGTGTGGCTCTTGGGCAATAATTTATCTAGAGCTGGTTCTTGTGATGAAAAAACTCAATGTTACTCAAAGAGCATAGGGAAGCAACTGACTGGGATCTTGGGATGCTTTTTCTTACAGAGTAACTGGGAATGAAGTGAATTTTAAAAAATTCTGAGAGTCACAAAACAGTGACAGACTTACTGCTTTGTGGCTCCTCGGATCTTTGTGCACAGGACGAAGAAAGCAGGGACCTTTGTATCTCTGCAGATTCAGGGAGGGGGCAGAGGCCTCTGAACTGTCTCCACTCACAGTGACGGCCACTTCATAGAGCAGAATTGCTGGCCATGATATTTTCTAGCTTTAGAGACATGGAAATGGAAAGGAAGTTTGCACTTCATGTATCTCCTGAGAAATTGCTTTGTGACACTTGTTCTCCTGTCTCCCAGAATGCTGAGGAGGATTACCAGCTGTGGTTCTCTTCTAGCAATGAAGAAGCGCCATGCCCACTCCTCGGTAAGCGTGTGGTGTCCACTGAACTCCACACTGTAACCCTACACTGTCAAAGTTTCTGTTGTTTAGTCTCCAGATTAAATAGCCTTAAAGAAGATCTCCTATGTGAGTTCTTCTACACATCTAAGATACAATAACAGAGTCTTACTCTAACCCAGGTATATGATAAGAAGACATTTCTGGGAATTCGTTTTTGTAATTGGTAATTGGTTTTTAAATATCTTTTTATTTAATTAAAATATAATTACATCATTCCCTCCTCCTAATCCTTTCTTCTACATTTCCAGTTGTTACTCCCCATCCCAAATGAAGGGGTTCCTTTTCTTTAGCCATCTTTGTTACATATGCATACAAGGGAATAGAAATATTCTAGGACTGACTGAATACTTGGTATCTGATAACCAATCAGAGATTGCATCCCTGGGAAAAGCTAATGACACCCAGAATCTGTTTCATTGCTTGTAGCTCTTCATGCAGTTGTGGGGCCTCATGAGATTTCCCAGATTCACGCTGGCATGCCAGCTGTTCTATTTACATTTTTTAGGCCATTGAGTTGCTGCGAGTTCATGGGTGCAATCTTATATAGAGAAAACTCAATCTCACAGCAGTATAACTAATTATCTGGCTCTTACCATCTTTAGGTGTCTTTCCCCATGATTTCCCATGAGTCTTAGGCATAGGAGTTCTGTTGTAGGTGCATCCATTGGTGTTGGGCGCCCCAAATCAGTAGTTCTTTTCATTTGACTAGTAGTAAAGGTTCCTGCTACTGCAGAAGGAAGCACCTCAGATGACAAGTGAGACCTACACTGGTCTGTGGATGTAAAGACAAAGTTGAGAATTCAGATGTAGTTATTTGAGTTTAGGAAATGGCAGCAGTAGGTTCCCCTCTAATATCCCATGGCCAAATTAGTATGGAGTTGGCTAAGTTTACAATATCAGACACACTTTCTCTGGTAGGTGTCATCAAGTCATAAGTGATCCTATGGCAGCCTTCCAGATATCCCACCATGCTGGTCATTGGTGTGGTTCACAGGCCTTTGCTGTGTGAACTATTGAATGCATCCCAGTACCATGAAAAGTCTAAAACAGTGAATCTGTACCTTCCTAATGCTGTAACCCTTTAATACAGTTAGTTTCTCACGTTGTGTTGTTCACCAAACAGAAAACGTTTTTCATTGCTACTTCATAAATGTAATTTTGCTACTGTTGTGAATAATGACATAAAAATTTGTTTTCTGATGGCCTAGACAACTCCTCTGAAAAGGTCATCAACCCCCAAGGGGTCACAACTCACAGGTTGAGAACCACTGGTGTAAACAGAGGAGACTTTCAGGTCAGATTCAGTTCAAATCACCAGAGCCCCTTGTCCAAAGTGTAAAGTAGTTTCAGCAACAGGAACTAACTTCACCTTCTGGGAGGCATGGTTCATTTAGCATTATATGAGTAATGGATTTATATCCTCTTCAGCCCGTTTCTCTGGCTTCGTGCACCCTTGCTATGTCCACCTCATTCCCCATCAAACACATTAACTTTTCTTCTTTAATTTTCTTGCTATATGTTTATGCATATAAAACTCTCTAAGCCTATTTAGTGTTGCTCAAATGTGTATCCAATCCACTTGAATTTGGATACCCTCTCAGGAGTGCATCCCTGAAGAACACCGAGTCTCCCTCTCTCTGCAAATATTCATTGCCTGTGGTACTTCTTCTACAAGAAGAAGTTGCACTGTGCATGTACCAGGTGGGATGAGCACTCCATAGTCATGTCTTCTCTAACCAGTTATGGATTCCATAAATCTCTTTATGTACAAGGTCTGGTTACTTGAAGAGAAAATGTGAACTTTTCTGCATTACAATGAAAAACCCTCAGAGATTTTCTACTCTTCTGGAAGTAAAAAAAGTGTTAAGACACTCATTTTTCAAAGTTAGTGTTCATGTACCAATTTTGTTATATTTGCTCCTAAAATGCTAAAATACAGCCATGGTCCTGAGTCTATGGTAGAACTTCATTGTACACATGTTCGTTTCAAAGCCTTTGCTCATTACAAAAATGAAATGAGATAATATTCACACTCTTAAAATATTTTTCTGAGTGTAAAACGTACCCTTTATTTTATTGCATTTTGTATAATGGGTTCTTATTGTGATTGATAGACAGGGCATTCGTGTTATAAAAAAGATCTCAGAATATTTTAGCTACAAAAATATTTTGGTTTATTAATTCACCTCCCTGTGATTGACTGAAACAAAGACATTGGAACACTAACACTGTAGTGAGGGCATCTGGAGATATTTGTCTTTTCTTAGATTTTAATTGCTTGATTTTATCTCATCTTGCAATTAAAATATAATTACAACATTTCTAACTTTGGCTCCCCTCCTCAAACCTTCCTATAACACTCCTTCTAATTTAAATTCGTATCTTCATTTTTATGGTGATTGTTGTTAACTGTTGTTACTTGTGAATAGATAGATACATATATATATAAATATATAGACATAAACACAATACATAACATAGGTAGTTGATAAGTAGGTAGAAATTGAAATAAGGTAGGTGCATAGATAGATATGTACATGATAGATTGATGGAAAGAAACAATATATGATTAACTGATAGATTGTAGAAAGAAACACATGATAGATAGTTGATTGAAGGATAGATGGGTAGATACATGATAGATACATGATTAATTGAAAGATGATAGATACATGATAGGTATGTACATACATACATAGATGGTAGATAGATACATGATTGATTGATTGGTTGATAAACGATAGATACTAGATAAAAAGATGGATAGAGAAATGATAGATGAGAGAGAGACAGAGAGACAGAGAGAGAGGGAGGAGAGATTGAAGGATTGATGATAGATAGACAGATGATAGAACCTGCTTCTATTTTATCCTGGAAACACATCTATGCACACGTTGTAATATAATTAAGGAAACTGTTAAATGAAGTGAACCTTGATAATAAGATTTTTCTCATATAATGTGTGTTGTCACTGTTAGAATTCAAGGAATACCCAGGACAGACTATGATCAGCTGCAACCTCTCATTTCATAACATTTCTAGCTTGGAGAATATTCGTCCGGGGAGAAATGATAAGCACAAACGGGTAAATGGAAAATTGTAAACTAGGGTGTGGAAAGAATACCAGGTAACACAAAAGCAACACATTTCCTCTTGCGTGAGGAACTGCTGCGATGAGAAGAATGAGTGTTTAAAAGGGTTAACACAGAGGTAGGAGGTACACGTGGCTCCCCATAGTGGAAGTCAGTAAAGTAGACACCATAGAGAGTTTAAAGGATAGTCATAGCAGAAACTCTGCTATGGTATGGTGATATCATGTTCTGTGCATTCCGTGCAAGCTAATAGGTTCAGATTTTTTCCTCTGTGTTTTTAAAGCCCTGTGCTTAGACACCTGCTTTACTAGAGCATCCTCACTTAGGATACCAGATACTTTAGGGACAACAGCCTTCTGATTCCAAGAGCATGGGGAGAACTGTATGTCTTCATAGTGTATCCACACACTCACAGGCAGGGAGGTGTGATTACTCATCACTTCGCATCAATCTATATTGAGAATTTTCTCTGTACAGGACATGAGAATCCATATGCTATCAAAATGAGTGAACTTCGAAATGATGCATTTATGGCCCTGGGTCCGAGCAACTACACCGCTTATCTCAACATCCAAAAGGTGATCCAGGATATGCAGGCCCCTCATGTGCCAGGAAAACTCATTCTAAAGCCCAAGGAGTCACCCCGAGACCATCAGCAGAGCAGTGAGTATCATCCCTTTAAGTTTTCATGTTCCATGGCTTTTAAATCCTTCTGTTGCCTTTTTCCTGGGACATTTCCAATGATACCCAACTGATAATTACTTTTTCTAATGAAAGGTAGTATTAGCTCGGGATATATTTCACAAGAACAGATATTCTCTTTAATATATTTGTGAGATGACAATTATGTGTGAATCTAAACCCATCTATATATATTAGTGCAGACATTGTTAGGGTTGACAACGGGATCTGTGGTGAACATTATTATTACAAAGAATTCTATGACCATGCATTGAGCTAAGCAAGGATTTAGGTGAACTGTATAAATATGTGCCCGATTTTTATTGCTTCTTTGAAAGTTTCCTATAGTGTGTTTTACCAAATTGAATTACGTTCTCCCAAGTGTTCCACGATCAACTCCCCTCTACCAGAATATTCAACTGTTGTCCACTCCCCCCACCTTAAAACAGTGGTTCTCCACCTGACTAATGTGAGCACTTAGTACACTTCTTTGTGTTGTGTTGTGTTGACTCCAACCATAAAATTATTTCATATCAGTAAATTTGATACTGTTATGAATCATAATCTAAACATCCGAAATCGATCCCAAATTGGTCTTGACCTTAAAATTGAGAACCAAATGCCTTCAAACATAACAATATCAAATCAGATTTGTGTTTCCCATGTGCATTTGGTAGGGGTCATTCCCTGGTACATGGTCCAACTCTAATACAGGCCACACCCTTATAGAAAACAGAATCTCAATATTGTAGCAGCAACCAATGGCCTGCACTGCCTCACTTAGGCCCGGGACTTTTTATCTCCCTCCCTCCTTGATGAAAAGCACCTTGGATGTACTGTAACAACTCTTCAGAGTTCATAGCTGGAAGTGCAATGTTATGCACAGAAAAGGTTTTGTTGACTCCAAAACAACTGTTATAACTTTGACCATCTATCTGCCCCCTTTTTGTGATGTTACTTGAGCCTTGATAAGAGAAAATAAAATACAGGCAGCATATTTAGGGATATGACTTCCAAAGACACTTATTCTCAGCACATCGGCAAGTTGTGGAAACCTGTGTTGATCACCATCAAATGCAAAGACACTTCTTTGACAGGGGTTGTGTGATACAATGATCTATGAGTATAAAACCCCACAATTAGCAGGCACTTTAATACTATTCACAGTTAAGCAGTAGCATTTCCACTATGACCCCTGACCCATGTACCAAAACAGGTGCGTAGTATGGGGTTCATCTTGTCTGTTGTATCTTCAAACCCATTCAGAATGAGGTTGGCAAGACTCATGTCACCTGTAACCCTATTGCTCCACTGACTATACCTTGCCAGGCCAGTGTTATAGTAGTTCATAAGGTCACAACTGGGTATTTCTGTTACTTTACTCTTCCTGTAGTGTGCATAGCACAGTAGAGCTGAGTTAGAGCATTATATCAGTTTCAAATGGATTCTCTGCTTCTGTGAGTCTAACCCAAATTCTGGAGTGTAAGCCAGATCACTGGCAATGGTCTGTATGTTTTGGGGTTCTGTGAGATTCTCTCAGTCCAGGAATTTCAAAGCTTTAACCTATTTCTGGCATTGGAGTCTTTATTTGTTAGCTTGTGGGGCCTAGTAAGGACATTATCACCAAAATATAAGATAATTCAATTTAAACATTTTAATAAACAAATGTATATATTTTAGGGATCATATGAAGCAATATATTTCCATATCACATTTTTAAAACATGTTTAGGATTAATTATCCTTTTTATAAACTCTACTATACTGCCTTCTCATACTTAATCTATTTAACCTTTGTGTTACATTACTCCCTTTGCCCCATATGTTCAATATACCCTGTTTTGAAATCCCTTGCCATAGTCCTTACTTGGTTCCCAGCTTCTATATCATTTCCAAGTAAAATACACTTATCTACAGTTTGGAGTAGCCAACTTACTGTTAGGTTGTAGAGCCAAGATGCACTACCCTCCTATGTAGTGCCTTGTACAGTGAGCAGAGTTTATTTAAGGAGTAACCTCACCAAAAGCCATGTGAACATTTAAATGATAGTATTTCGTGGGATTGCAGCGTCTTCTACGTGACATGTCTGTTCAGGTTTACCTACTTAGCACATGTGACCATTTATATACACGTTAGGGTGCTCTACTGAGAGACCATCAGACTTCTGAAATGATGATCTCCGTTCTCCTCAGATGCAGAGACAACAGTTAGGAGACGCTCCCTCCTAAGTCGGATATTTCGCCGTGGAGCATCCACCTGCCATGACTGTGCGTGTTCCCGTGCTCCAGCCCCAAGTCCTGGTCGCCTCTTTAATAACCCTCTAGGGGCTATTTGTCAAGATGGCAATCTGCCAACTTCAATTCTGGTGAGCATGGTGTTTTTACTCTGTGGCCATCTGAGCAGGAAAGTCTCCAAATGGGAAAGCATTCTCCTTAGAGTAGCATTAAGAGGGCATTATAGGCAAACATCAGTTAGATGGGGAAGCCTCCAAGTATCACTATTTAAGAAAAGTATCCCGAGATTGTTTTGATGAATCATGGAAATCACAACAGGAAAATGCCTTCTAGTTCCTTCTCCTGTCCAGCAAGGTACACACTGACTCTCTGAGACTAATCAGCCCTAAGATGTGATGCTCTGAAGCATCCTCACCTCATAATCAGTTTCTTCCTTGAAACCCACAGTGTCATCAGACATAACTCCACGGTCATTTCATTGTAGCCTGATCACTCTTCTAATCTAAATATCTGGCATCTTTTGGTTTTCTTTCCAAGAGTTTAAATATAAAACCTTACCATTTGCTATGGATGAATCCTCTCACCCTGAAGAATTATGTCAAGAAGACCCAAATTTTGGCCTATGTTACTCTAGAAAGTATCCAAACTGTCAGTAGAAACACAGAATGTCCAACACCTTCCCAGTAGTGATGTTTACACTGCATAGGAACCAGTCTATCATTATCAGACTCATGAATGATAGTAGAGTAAACCTTACATAAGTCATAAGACGTGGAAGTAACCATGATGTCACCATCCAGCCGATGCCAACTCAATCACTAAAAGCCCTAGTCTCATTGTGTATGGTACCCAAGCTTCCGTGGTAAATCACAGACAGGGTAAATTGTGATTCCCATGGTTCCTGGCATAATTGAAACTATGAAGACAGAGCAGGAGGAGACAAAAGGGTGACTTAAAGAAATACAAGTAGAAAAGGGCACTTTAAATGTCAGTTTGAGCCTTGTTATATTTAGAGCCCAGGACATAATCAAAGTAGGAATAGGGTCATAATCAGAAAAGATTTCCAAGGGAAATAGGATGACACCCTGGGGAAGGGCATTCATAGGAAGAACAGCAAAGTACAAGAAACAGTGTCCAGGTCTAGAGACAGATTGATTTCAGACCATCCATCACTGCAGATGAAAATCTGCTTCCAACGTGTTCCCAGTTCTCAGCATGAAATGTTAGAGTGGTTCTGAGAGAGGAACTCCTGTAGGATCACTAGATTCAATCAGGAAGAGACTGGGCCTGACAGAAGCTTTTGAAACCACAATCCCAACCCAAGTGACACACTTCTTCCAACAAGCCACACTTCCTAATATTTTCAAATACCTCACGCCTTGGTGACTAAACATTCAAATATATGAGCCTATGGGGACCATTCCCATTGAAACCACCACACACCCATTGCTCGGTGAGTCATGAAGACTCATGTCGCTGCCCTGCAAGTGTGGATCTATAATGGCAGGTTCTTATCTTTCCACACACAGACTATGCTGTCTCTTCTGGAGGAAACTGGACCTGCCATTGAAGGCATTTTTAGAAAATCAGGAAGTATTGCAGAATGCCAAGACGTTAAGGACAAGCTGGATTTGGGAGAAGAAGTAAATCTGAGGGAGGAATCCATCGTTGTCGTGTCTTCAGTTTTAAAGGTATTTGGGAAGGTGCATGCTTCAAATGTCAATCCCAACTCCTCACCTTCTCCCTCCACCAGCCCAAATCCCACTCCCCCATCCCCAGCCAAATCCCCACATCATTCCCCAGGGAGGGTGAGGCCCTCCTTGGGCAGATCTCCAGAGATTATCATTTCATCCATTTGTGCAGGCTGAGATAGCATCAATCTATATGGAATGGGCTCCCGGAGTTCATTTGTATGCCATGGTGAACACTAATCTACTACCGAAGGCCCCAGAGCTTTCTGAGGCCTCCTCACTGACACTACATTCATGGAGTTTGGATCAGTCCCCTGTTGGCCTCTTAGCCATTAGTCTGGGCTTGAAGAGCTCTCCCTTGTCCAGTCAGCTGTCTTTGTGGGATTCACCAGCACGGTCTTGACCCTTTTGCTCATCACTCCTGCATCTATGTAACTGGGATCCAGGGGGTCAGTTCAGTCTTTAGCTGTGAGTACCTCTCTCTGCTTCCATCAGTCACAGGATGAACATTCTATGATGTCATATAAGGTAGTCATCAACCTTATCATCCGGTAATGGCTATTAATATAGTCTCCCCTATTATACTTTTCCAGTTTTTGTTATCCTTGTATATATATGGAAATCTCACTAGTGTCAGCCCTCTCCTCAAAGCTATAATGACTCCTACTATTATGGCATCACTCATCTTGCTCTCTTTATTCTTACACTGACTCAACCCTCCTGCTTCCCTATGTCTTTTTCTACCCTTCTCTTATCCCCCTCTCATTTTCCTGGTTCTCTCTCCTCTCCCCCCATGTTCCAATCTGCTCAGGAGATCTTGCCTCTTTCCACTTCTCTGGGGCATAATGCATATCTCTTGGGAACCTCCCTGTTTCCCAGACTCACTGGCCTTGGGATTGTAGGGTGACACTCCCCTGATCCATGTCTAAAATCCATATATGAGTGAGTACAAACCACGTTTGTTTGTTTTTTTTTTTTGACTGGGTTACCTCACTCAGTATGGTTTCTTCTAGTGTCATCCATTTGCCTGCAAATTTCAAGATTCCCTTGTTTTGTTTTGTTTTTTTACTATTGAGTAGTACTCCATTGTGTAAATGTACCACATTATCTCTATCCACTCTTCAGTTGAGGGGCATCTAGGTTGCTCCGAGGATATAGCTATTACAAATAATGCTGCTATGAACATAGTGGAACAGACATCCTTGTTGTATGAAATGACATCTTTTGGGTATATGCCCAAAAGTGGAATTCCTGGGTCATGTGGTAGACTGATTCCCATTTTCCTGAGGAATCTCCAGGAAAGTGGCTGAACAAGTTGGCATTCCCACCAGCAGTGGAGGAGTGTTCCCCTCTCTTGAAATGGTTGTTGTTGGTGAAATTGTATGTGTATTTCCACCCCTTTTGTGTTTTTGGGTGTTGGTAAAGTGGGATTATCTATTTCCTATATTTTTCTGGTTGTAGTTAACTTCGTTTGACTGGAGTTGTCCTTCCAGAACTTTCTGTAGGGTGGGTTAGTGGATATGTATTGTTTAAATCTGGTTTTGTCATGGAATATCTTGTTTTCTCCCTCTGTAGTGATTGAAATCTTTGCTGGGTATAGTAGTCTGGGCTCGCATCCGTGGTCTCTTAGTGTTAATAGAGTATGCATTCAGGACCTTCTGGCTTTCAGACTTTCCATGTAGAAGACAGGTCTAATTCTTATAGGTTTGCCTTTACATGTTATTTGGCATTGTTCCTTAGCTGTTCTAAGTATTCTTTCTTTATTCTGTATGTTTAGGTTCTTGATTATTATGTGGCAAGGGGACTTTTTTGTGATCCACTCCACTTGGTGTTCTATAAGCTTCTTGTACCTTCATTGACATGTCTTTCTTTAGGTTGGGAAAGTTTTCTCCTATGATTTTGTTGAATATGTTTTCTGTCCCTTTGAGTTGGGTTTCTTCACCTTCTTCTATACTTATTATTCTTAGGTTTGGTCTTTTCACGGTGTCCCATATTTCCTGGATATTTTGTGTTAGGGATTTATTGGTCTTAAGATTTTCATTGATTGATGAATATATCTCTCCTAGTGTTTCTTCAAAACTTGAGACTCTCTCTTCCATCTCTTATATTCTGTTGGTTTTGCTTGCATCTGCAGTACCTGACTGTTTCCCCAGTTTTTCTATTTCCAGCATTCCTTCAGACTGTGTTTTATTTTATTGTCTCCATATCAGCTTTCAACTCTTGCACTCTTTGAATTTTTTCTTGTAATATTTGCTTCGTGTTTTCTTCCCTTTCTTGCATTTGTTGGATTTTTTTGTTTTTTTCTTCTATTTCTTGCATTTTGTGGTTAGTTTCTTCTTCCACTTGTTTAAGGGATTTTCTCACATCCTGTTTAATGGCCTCTATCATTTTCATGAAGCGGTTTTTAAGGTCATTCCCTTCTGCTTCATCTGCATTGGGGTGTTCAGGTCTTATTGGTGTAGAATCTCTAGACTCTAGTGGTGTCATATTTGTTTTCCTGTTGCTGAATGTGTTGTTATATTGCCTCTTCCCCATCACTTCTTCCAGTGTGTGTAGAAAGAGTCTCTTCCTCACCTGGTGTGCAGGCGACCAGGGTTCCCTTTCAGTGGGTGTAAGCAAATCTAATATTCTCTGACTTCTGCTCTCTGTCCTCTGCCCTGTGCCCTGAGTGAGGGTGGAAGTGGAGCAGTCCTCTCTGCAGCTCCTGGTAGTTTGGTCGTCTGTTGGCTGGGGGGGGGGGCCGGAGTTCGACCTGGATGCAGTCTCTAAGCCAGGGCATCCGAGAGGGGCTCATATCTTGAATGTGATAATTAGTGGTCCAAATTGAGATTGGCTTAAATTTTATTGTCCTTTTTAGAAATTATTTTGTACAATGTCTTGTTGGTGTTTTGCCAACAAACTGCTACTTTAATCCTAAGGAACTGAACTTTTACACATTAAGGAGTGACTCATTGCACTGCTGTCACTCCTGGAGAACACAGGTAGCAGAGGACATTCCTGTCCTCACCTGTAATTCAAGACAGTATTTAGATCACTTGCCTTAGAACCTTTCTGACTAGGAAGTAAAGGCTGCATTCAAAAGCGATAAAAAAATGCACATGTTAATTTATTAAAGATGTATGCATACTGAACAGTTGCACCAGCCTTTCTCACTTTCACCTGATTTTGCAAACATCCTAGAGGAAATTTGACCTGGGAAGAGATTCATCTACGTCCCCACCACCACCACACTCTACTCTTAGGTCTCTATGTTCAGTACAGTGAATCCAAACCCCTCTTCTGCCTGTGCCAGTCAGTAGATCTCAGACAAGGTTCTGTGTGGGTGCAGCCTGGGGAGCTTTGAAACGATTGGGGTTAAGCTGAATTCTTCAGTTGACAATTCTCTCAGTAATTTTCCAATGTAAACTTTCATAAGAATAATCTGCATTTTCATCTTTGTAAGGATTTTCTTCGAAACATCCCCGGAGGAGTATTCTCATCTAGCCTCTATGATAAATGGATGTCAGTCACTGATCTAGACATTGAGAAGGAAAGAATAGCTTCCATCCAGAGGTAATGATGCACTCTTGAATTGGAAGAACAAAATGCAGACAATGTATTCTTATAAATATGACTAAAATCATGCCCAGCACCAAAGATTTATTTAGGCCACACATAATGTGCATCTTTTTAAAGGAGAACTAAAGTCTAAGCACTTCAGAGTATCAAACCCTGTAATCTAAGCATGAGACAGACGATTGTGAAGATTATCCTCAGAGTTATTCAATGATTCTAGGACAGCTGGGGCTACTTTATGAGACAGTCTCAGAAAACAAAACCAATGTCTTACTATTATGGTTATATTGATTTTCTCCTAGTACAATTATTATAGAACATAAACCAATACATACAGCCTGAATAAATGACACAGTGAAAGGAAATTCACTGTCCCACAGAATATACTTCATCATCCAGTCTATTAGTGAATGATTTCAAGAGTCTTAAATGATTTTTCAACAGAGAGGTCCATGTCCAAATATGGACTAAATTCTATGAAACATTTCTGTGTCTATGAAGTCCTGGAATGAACTCTCAGATACCAGATAAGATTTGGGTTCTAATCTTCACACAGAAATGCTTTTTACCTAAAACTAAGGCAATGGTGGTACACACCTTTAGTCCCAGCACTCAGGGGGCAGAGGCAGGCAATCTCTGTGAGTTCGAAACCAGCCTGGTCGACAAGACCTAGATTCAGTACAGTCTACAAAGCCACAGAGAAACACTGTCTCAAAAAACAAAAAAATATATATATATTTGGATAAATTTTGTTCAAATGAAAATATAGAACTCTTGGTAAAACAAAGCAATATTTTAGGACATGTTCCTGTTTCTTTTTAATCTCAATTAACTATATATGATATACAAAATGTTTTCTGTTTCTTTTCTCCATACATAGAACTTCATTAGTAAAATTTCCCATTTCAAAAGAATTTGTTTCTGTTCAGTCTTTTAGAGCAACTGCCAACACCAAACGTGGTCCTCTTGAGACAGCTATTCCATGTCTTACACAGCATTGAGAGACATTCATCAACTAACTATATGACATCTTATAACTTATCTGTGTGTATGGCACCCAGTCTTCTGTGTCTGCCTAACACCAGCATGTTGGAATTAGGAAAAGAAATCTCAAAACAGGTAATTAGATGTATACTTTTGTGCTTCGGTTCAGTACAATGATCTGCCCTGGTGTTTTGCAAGGAAGGTTCTCTTATCCATTTCTTCCCTTCAGGAGAGCAGAAGAGTAACCATTTCTGAGTTAGGTACCTTCCTCGTTCTATACCAAAAATAGATGAAACTATTCTATCTGGAGATGAATTGTTCATCTTCACCCATTTTTCAAATTTCTAACTTGTCAGTGATTGATCCTATAAATTTTCAAGCCATGAGAAGAATATTTTAAATAGAGTGCCTGATCCAACAAATTGTGTACTTTTGTGAGGAATCAGAAAAGAATGAAGAGAGGCTAGGGACCCATCTTACTATCCATCTCTAGGCCTTGCTTCTTCAAGCATACCTCCACGTTAATCCAGGAGCAAGCCTTCAACATGTAAGCCTCCTGGGGGACATTGAACACTAAACTAGGGCACATTTCATCTTTGATAATGGAAGAAGAAGCCAAGCAAAACTTCTAGAATTTCCTGGAAGTAAAAGTGGCTAAACAATTTACTAAGGTCAACTAAACAGGCAGCTGCTGAACACCAATGCATGGAGGTAGTGATGGTGTTTCTTTGCAGATGCCTTCTTCCTACACAGAAGACCCAGGGAGCTCTGCTGCCCAAAGTATACACAATTCATGTAAAACCTGAAGTTCTCTTGTTTTCCTTTAATTTGGTGGTTTGTAAACCTCAACAACAAACTCTACTCTTCACCCCATAACTTTTTTTTTTGGTTTTTCGAGACAGAGTTTCTCTGTATTGTTTTGGAGCCTCTCCTGGAACTCGTTCTGTAGACCAGGCAGGCCTCGAACTCACAGAGATCTGCCTGCCTCTGCCTCCTGAGTGCTGGGATTAAAGGCATGTGCCACCAACGCCCAGCCCACCCCATATTAGTTTATTAGTTCTCTTTCTCCTTGTAATGACAAAAACACCTGAGAAAGTGCGGAGATTGATTTAGCTCACAGCATGACCTGATGCAGTCATTACATGTGAAGTACACGTTCAGGGACTTGAAGTACTGTACAATTGGCTGTGCAGTCAGGAAGCAGAGAACAAGGGGAGGAGTGCTAACCTGGCTTCTTCATTCACTCCCTTTCTGCTCATTCTGACTTCATGTGCAAAGGTTGTACATCCTCAGTCACGATGAGTATTCATCTTTAACTGATCCTCTGTATACACACCCTCACAGACAGACACGGAGCTGTGTCTTCTCTGTGAATATAATGCCATTCTAGTACAACAAAGCATGATCATCATACTGAATACCTGGAACATTAACAAATTGTACTTTATTGATTGTATTTTAAGGTCTGTTCTATTGTAACTTACACAGTTTCCTTTTAAAAGAAAAACAACTCATATCTTTTATACCGATTTTGATCAGAAATTTGAATTTCAAAGTCCCCTATCTCACTCTTCTATACGAAATGTGGTTCCTAACCATATCAGATGACAGCTGCCATTTTTGTCCTTTGTTGTCAACAGATTTCTCTTGTACAGTTCTTTATTGAAAATTTTGAAAAGATATTTGAAGGCAACACGAATATACATTTAGGACAAGGCTCAGTGATGCCTAGTAATGGCAAGGAGTCTTTGGATACATTCATCGGTTTACGTGAAATGGATGCTGTCCAGGATGATGAGAAAACCTGTGCTAGTGAAACGAGGCATTCCAGTGGTGACACAGAGCCGCGGCATCCACCTGCCGCTCCTCATGAGGGTGAATGCTCAGTTGAGTGGTCATCTAACTCTGACAATGAAAATCAGGGTTAGAGGATATGCACACACTCAGTAACAGCTGTTTCCCTGACAACAGCATCAAAACACACTATGCCATCACAGAATTTGACAACTTTCTCAATAAAACTGTACGTGGAAGCTCATCCTTGCACTCAGTCAATGTGCCCTATTGTAACTATGTGAGGTGCCCGGTAGAGACACGTTTGTATTTATCTTCTCTCTTCCCAGAGGTCCCAGAGAACACCCAGATGACTAGTGCTCTTTAAAACTATTTGAAAGAGTCAAGATGTTTGAGAAAAACTATTACTCTATTTAACATCAAAGAAACATTGTATAAAACAAAGTCTTGTGGTTCACCTTCTAACCTGTGTTGTTAAGTGTCCAAATAAATTCTGTAAGTCTTACTGATTTCATCTCAAATACAGAAAATATATTATTTTCATAAAGATTAAATAAAAGCATTGCATTACATGAGTTTCAATGTTGTATGGAAGCCAACAAAATTTCCCCTGAATCAACAGTTAACATCACCCAAGCTCAGGTTTTAAAGCAGCTAGCAGCATTTTGCTGTTCAGAGTGGAGATGAGAGTCAGACCAGAGGACACAGCCTTGAATCCCTTCATGTTTCTGGCATTTCATGGTTGTATGATATTTAATTTGTTGCTTGGGAAAAAACTTACAAAATGCATTATAACCAGAAGTGAGGTTAGTCTAGTGGTCTAGTGTCTTCGGGGGGGGTGTTTATACCAGATGATACATCTATGTTTCATTCAGCAGTGAGTATGGAACAACCTCTGGATCCTAGACTGTTAAATGCCCAGTATTCTACAGAAGGAACAACTCCAGAGCTGCAGCATGATGTGTGAGGCCCTGTCGGGACCCGTCCACCTGGAACCAGCCTGGGATTTCTTCACTGGCAACTATAATCCTCACGACCATATTTGCTTATTCCTTTAGTGCTGTGTTCCCAGGATATGTCAGAACATGGCTTAAATCCTCTTGTCTGAAATTGATTCTCCAACAAAATGCTGTACAGACACCAAAAACTAAGCACCTGAAGGTGTTCTTAAACTTTCTTCACCTGAGACCTGAACCAGCTTCACTCGGGTTCCAGTTCATTACTCGGGATTGTTCCTTTTCCTCCTTCATTGTTTATATTTGAGAAGACCTTTCTTTCTCCAAAATATCCCTATCTCCATATTATTATGTTTACTATAGGAATTCTACTTAGCATTTATATTGAATTTTTTCATTGTATTACCTATATTTTATTGTTATAATAAGTATTCTAGAATCTGATTGCTTAGACAATGTTTTGTTCGAGATTTCCAGTAACACTTTAGAAAATGCTCAGAGGAGCCTTATGCCTGTCCTCAGTTGTAATTAATATTCAGTTTTCTGGGAGCTTAACTGCGGTTCCTGTACATGTATATCACGTGCAGATGGCTTGTTACCTGCCCCTTTGTCTATGATAAGTTAGTCCCTGTTTCTTCATGTTGTAGAGTAAAAGTATACCAGCAAAGGAGACACTGACACTGCTCCCTTGTCACAGTCAAGTGTACTAATATTCCACTGGTCAAGGTCTAGGATGAGAGAGTTAAAACCAGAATTTCTACAGGAGTTGATGAGAAGTCAGTAGAATTCCAGCTGCTAGGGTTTAGAAATGAGGCCTTCATGTTTCTGGGAGGCTCTTATTTGAAAAGTGTCAAGCTGCTGAGTCAATTCAGTGTAAACTCACTACAACACATCATCATCTTCTCAGCTTTAGACATTTCCTGAATGCACTGGAAACACATTCCAAAGGAACTGAGCCACATCCTAACCTTAGGGAATAAGTTAAACTTCTCAGTGACAAAAGCTTATACAAAATTGGATTTCTGTACTCTACTGTATGTAACAAATCAAAATACAAAACTGTGTAGAAATCTTGTCATTAGGTCATCAGTGGACACAGTGGGTTTTGCAGACATATGTATCATAAAATCTGAGAACGTTCAAATCAAGAAATATGTGCTATTAATTTGTTAAACATAAAAGAAAAAACATTCTCACATGTGTATACAGGTATGGTTAATTCTGGTCATCTGCTATTTGAAAAGGTGTTCATGAAAAGAAAGATTAAGAAACTGATTAGAGTAACTTTTCCTTCACAATAAGCAATATAAATCATTTCCAACTTAAACTTGTAAGACCTGATGAGCATGCCCATGACAACATAAAGTCAGAATAAGACAATAGAATAACTTACATGTAGAGTTTGCCATTTGGGAGTGTTCTCTCCATGTGAGGTGATAATATTTATTAGAGAACAATTTTTTAGAATTATTAACTAAAGTTAAGTATTAGCTGTCCTGGCAAAAGTCATAATACAGTGATTGCTGTGTTTGGGGTAATCAACCCATTTGTTTGTTTGGGTTTTTGTTTTTTCCATTGTGGCCACATCTGTCCTGGAACTCGATGTATAAACCAGGCTGGCCTTGAAGTCAGAGATCCACCTGCCGCTGCCTCCCACGTACTGGAATTAAAGAAGTGTAAGTGATTAATCTTATTTGTCCAGAACAAGTAGTTTTTTTAATACAAAGGACAAAACGTGTTTCCAAAGAAATTGGTGCTACTAGGAGGGGGCACTGGTAATTATGCCTGACATGTTGAGCAGATGACTTGATTCTGTGACTCTCAGGTTGTCTTGACTATCAGGCTATTATCTTGACTATTGCAGATAAGAATCCTTCATTGGATGTGCAGGTGGAAAAAATCTTATTCCATTCTGTAGCCTGAAGCTTTGTCAGTTTCATGAGATCATGTTTTAATTGTTTTCTTTCTACATGCGCTGTCAGTGATCTGTTTACGAAGTGTTCTAGTCTTCACCTTCTCTTCTGGCAGATTGGGTGTGTCTGGCCTTATATTGAGGCCTTTGACTCATTTAGATTTGAGTTTTGTGCAAGGTGGTAAGGATGGATCTACTTACATTCTTCTACATGCAACCATCCAGTGTGAAAAGTAATATTGTAGATGATGCTGTCTTTATTCCAGTGTGAAATTCTGATTTCTTTATCAAAAATCAGCTGTCCAGAGTTGTGTGGACTTATGGCTGGGTCTTCAGCGCTATTCTGTTGATCACATGTCTGTTTTGTGCCCATACCTTGGTGTTTCTATTAGTAGAGTTCTGTAGTGCTCTTTGAGATCAGAGATGTCAATATCTCAAGCAGTTCTTTTATTTTTGAATATTGTTTTAGCTATCCTGGATTGTGTGTGTGTGTGTGTTTGTATATGAAGATGAAAATTGCCCTTTCAAATTCTGTAAAAAATTATGTTGGAATTTTCATGGGGATTTCATTGAATGTGTATATTGCTTTTTTGGTAGGATGGCCATTTTTACTATATTAATCCTACTAATCCAAGAGCATGGGGGATCTTTAAATCTTCTGATATCATCTTCAGCTTCTTTCGTCAAACACCTAATGTTTTTAATCATACAAGTTTTCACTTGCTTGTTAGCATTACCCCAAGAGATTAAAACTTTTGAGGCTATTGTGACAGGTATTTTCCTGTTTTCTTTCTCGGTCTCTTTGTCATTTGTACATAGGAGGTTCCTGATTTTTGTGAGTTAATTTTGTATCTCATCACTTTGATGAAAGTATTTATCAGCTGTAGTGGTTTCCTTGTGGAATTTTAAGGGTCACTTAAGTATAAAATCATACCATTTGCAAATAAAGATCCTTTGAATTCCCTCCAGTTCCCACTTTGCTCTAGCTAAGACATAGATATGGAGAGAATGGTTATTCTTAACTTGTCCTATTTCACCAGGGGTTAGAGGCATATTTAAATTGGTTTTTCTTATATTGATTTAACATTCTTAAGTGCCATGTATTGAGAAAATTACCTATTTGTTTTAGATTTTCCAACTTGGTGGAGTACAGGTTTATAAAGTTTGTCATTATGATTCTCTGGATTTCTTTGGTCTCTGTCGTTATGCCTCTCTTTTCATTTCTAATTTTGTTAATTTGGATCTTCTGACTCTGCCTTTTAGTTAATTTGGATAAGGGCATGTCAGTCTTATTGATAGTCTCAAAGAACCATCTCCTCCCATTGATGACCATCTCCTCCCATTGATGTTTTTATGTTTTACTGTTGTTTTTGTTTGTTTCTATTTTATTGATTTGAGACCTGAGTTTGAATATTCTTTCTATATACTCCTTTTGCATGTGATTTCTTCTTGTTGGTCTAGAACTTGTCGGGTGTGATGTTAAGTTACTTTCTTTTTATTGTAGGCACGTAGAGCTATTTTCCTCTTAGAACTCCCTTCATTGTGTCCCAGAAGTCTGAGTTACGTTGTGTTATTTTCATTCAATTCTAGAAAGTTTTACATTTCTTTCCTAACTTCTCTTTTGACCCATTTTCATTCACAGTAGTGAGTTGTTTCCATGAGTTTGTTGGCTTTCTGTTTTTTATGTTTTAAATACAGCTTTAATCCAAGGTGTCATATAGGTTGCAGAATGTTAACTGAATTTCCTTGTTATCCTGCTATCTTTGTATCCAAGCATGTTCTCAATTTTAGAGAAAATTCTCTGAGGAGCAGATAAGAACATGTATTCTTTATTATTTGGGTGAAATGTTCTGTAGATGTCTGCTAGTTCCATTTGCTTTATGATGTCAGTTAGCTCCAGCATTTCTTTGTTTAGCTATTGTCTGGATGATCTGTCTATTGTTGAAAGCCGAGTATTGAAGTCTCCCACTGGCTTTGTTAGGGTTTCCATTACAGTGAAGATGTACCATGACCACGGAAGCCCTTCTGAGAGAAAACAAGTCGAATATCATCATGGTAAGACAAGGGAGCATGCAGATACACATGATGCGAGAAAGGGAGCTGAGAGTCGCACAGCTTCATCCACATGCAACAGGAAATGATGCCTCTTGCCAAGTGTAGCTTGATCATAGGAGACCTTAAAGTCCACCCCCACAGGAACACGCTTCCACCAACAAGGTCACATCTACTCCAACACAGCCATGCCTCCAAATGGTGCCACTCCCTTTGGGGGGCCTTTTTTTTTTGGTTTAGCACTCAATTTTATTTTTTTATTTTTTATTTTAATTTTAAATAGCTTGTTTTACATGTCAATCCCAGTTCCCTCTCCCTCTCCTCCTCCCGCAACCCCCCATCCAATCCCAGCCTCCCACCCTATTGCCATTCCTTCCACATAGGGGATATTTGGGTCTGTCATTTCACTCAGGGTAGGGTCCAGGCACTCCCCTGAGTCCAGGCTGAGAGAGGATCCCTCTTTGTGCTATGGTCACACAATGTCTGTTTGTATTCCAGGGATAGACACTGATCCACAGCTCAGAGCCCCAGAGGTTGCCCAACCCTCTTCACTGACACTCACATTAGGGGGTCCGGATCAGTCCCATGC